AGGCTCTTTCCTTCAAAAATATGTATCAATTTAGCAAGTCTTGAAGATCCTAGTGGGTTATTTCATTTAAAACGAATTCTGAAAGCTTCGAACGACCTATTGAAAAAATTCCATCTAGAATTGCTCTCTGCAGTCCAGATGGTAAAATAGAACCAAGTCCCTTGTTGGTAACCCAATGCACTGCAACCAGCCAAAGAGAAAACACATAAAGTTACTAAAAAGAATTGTCATCAAAACATCTTCATTCGGTGAAGGTAGAATCAATTATTAATGAGAAAAAGTAAGATTAAGAACATAACAATTGCTGTCTTCATTCACCTGAATTGGCAATAGATGGATCAAGCTCAAGTGTTGCAGGAACTACCATAACTGCTCTGAAGTTCCAAATGCTAAGAGCTATGTTGAACAAGGCAATCTGAAAAAATTTTAAACACGCAGGTCAAGAATAAAAGACTTGAGAATGAAAGCAGAATAGGAAAAAATGGGGGAAAAAATAAAGCAATGCCGGCTTGCGTTCCATTTCATATGTATTTAAGTATTGATGATGGTTCAATACCCTTTAGTAAGGAAACAATTTTCCATGCCAGATTATGAGCATCCTGAATTCCAGTATTCATTTCTGCAAAACCATGTTTAATTCTTTAAGAGATCCCTTCATACTAATTCAGAATTTAAAGAAGCATTTCTTGTCATTATCCAATCTGTCTTTCCATGAAAAGTGCTGTTCTTGTTAAGTATCTTTTAGACCATATTCAGACTTCCTTCACCAATACAGAAATGCTCTAGTGAATTCACAGTCACTAAATAGTCAAAACGTAATAAACAGTTGAGTCAATCATGAATCCTGCGTACAAATACTTTATTCTGCTGGATGTTTCTGCAGTTATACCTGTAAACAAACTCCCAATCCTAGCCATATTTAATATAAGTAATTATGTATTACAGTTTACATGTTACACTTTGTTGTTTCCATGACACCCACAAATGGGACAAGGAAACAAACAAAGGCAAGGTAAAATGGTAAATCCCCTAGCCCTTGGTCTATGCACATACAGGAAAATTCAGTCACAAGCTGCTGATCAGGAAATAAGAAAAATTCTAAATAATCATAATGCTTTCTGGTCAGAAAAACAGAGTTACTACCAAAAGCACCAGTAAGAGGGAATTGATGAGCAGCATCACCAGCAAGAATTACTCGATTGTCACAACATACAAACTTTTCAGCAACTTCAGCATGCATCACCCATGGCTTTATATCAATCACATCTATATCTAAAAGCTCTCTACCAACCAATTTGACCATTAACTTCTTGCATATCTACAAAAATTTGCATTCTTTCAAAGCAACAGTTACAAAAAATGGAGAAGGAACCTTGTTTACATACCAAATCTTACAATTAAAATTTAAAAAGTCTGTCCTGTATATCGACTGTTGGGATATTGTGAAAATCATTTAAGAATAGATATAATTCACTCATTTGTTTCATCAAGAGAACCAAATAGTCAACAACTGTGATTGGAGCAAACTTCATTAGTTGATGAATATCAAGATAGGATTGCCAAAGAGCTGAAACTTAGTCCCATCTTCAAAATGTGAAGAGGCCTAGTCTTCATCACATACACCTCCAATAGGTGTCTTGACACTTCATTCTTAATCTAAATCTAATTCTTGTTCATCATAATAGATTGTGCAAACAAAATACAAGAAGACCTATCAGTTGTGAAGGAAAATACCGCAAGGCTGAAATATTCCAGGTTCTGTTGAGGCGGATAGAATGAAATCTGCAAGAGAATGAACAATAAGTCATTTTAACTACATGTTAAATGTTGGAGTGGAGCATTAAGTTTAGCAATAAGCCAAACAATCTCAAAAACCAGTACTTACCTGTAATACAAATTCTCCTTGCTTTAGATCAAGAGCAACAAGAACACCTATAGTTTTATTAGTGTTAAAAATGAAAAAGCATACCAGGTCTCTCATGAAGGAGGAACTGTCCAAGGTCTTTGCCCAAGAAATGAACACTCACTAACTTCTGCAAGTCCTTTTCACCACTCAAATCTATCCCAACAAGCTTTCTTACTGTCCTCCCAGCACCATCTGCTGCAACAAGAATTTTAGACTGGATTTTTCTCTGCATAGGCTTCCCTTCCTTCAGGAAAGAAATGTTAACAGTAACACATTGTTCAGCAGCATCAATGGAGATGCACTGATGCCCCATTAGTATTTTTCCAGCCTCAGGAAGCTCACGATCAAGGCCTTCCCAACCTTCTGATTCACAAACATTAAAACCAAGGTTTTCCAACTGCTTAAGTAGTAACCTGGTTAATTTGTACTGTGATAAATGTGCAACAGAGGCTGGGCTGACAATTTTCACAAAATATGGCAATAGAAAACAAAGTATCAATTTCTGAATTTAACATTCAAGAAGCAAGACACCAGCAATACAAAAGGAGCATCAATATCTTCTGTAGTACTCATTAAATCGTTTATAGAATGCAAATACAATTCATTAAACAACAGTAAGTATGCTTGGTTCTACTCCCTTTTCCATACAAGTTAGAGAGTCAAAGTCCACTGGCTGCAGATAAATCATGTCTTGAGGTCGCATATGGTCCACTGACCCAAGTATCAGACCAGTGACTGAATTGCAATATATAAATTTTCTTCACAAATCCATCAGGGGGCTGTGATCTTTGAATCTCTTTGGCTAGTCCACCCAATTTGCGAAACACCTAACAAACAACCAATAGTTAGAATGAGGCTTCATTTCTATGTAATAACCAAATCCATCTTCCATATAAGAAATTTCACCTCCATTGAGCTGTTGTTGATAAAATGAGCGTCGGGATGCCTAGAAAACGCCATGTTCTTCTCTAAAACCGCACATTTGACCCCTAAATAAAATCATACGGCAAAAAAGTATTCCCCCACCAATCAAAAACCCAATGTAACAAGCAAATGAGGGTAACAAATAAGTGATAAATCCAAATTGCCTAAGCCAAATTAGTGCTCAAAACTTAGACTGATTAAACCAAAAATTAATCACTTGCGTAATAGCCATTAAGAAAGTAAAAAGAAATGATTGAGTCTTCCCTGTATAGGACTTCATCTGCTGCAAAATTTCTTTCTTTCCCATTCTTCTGAGGCTTATAAAAGGGTCAAAATTCAAGTTGTTCGAGGAAGTATCTAATTTGATTAGGAGAATGGGGAGAACGAGACGAACGGGTCCGGCATTGACGATCAGAACGGGTCCGGCATTGACGATCAGAACAGGCAGCTGTGCATCGTCACTGCTGTGACACTTGAAGTCCGATGAGGCTCTGCATTGAACGAAACCAATGGGTACAATCTGATTCTGGGTTTGGCTTTATTGGGGGAGCTAAAACCCCTGATAAACCCTGAAATCCCAGTGAACTAGAATTCCAGAAGCTGCAGTTCGGAGAACGGCTATTGATAGGAGGATTTATGTGGCTAAAACCAACTTGAGCCCCTCACCTTACAAAATTGTTAGGTTTTAGCCCCTAACCTCATATTATGACATTTTTAGCCCTTTGCCTTACAAAGTTGATAAGTTTTAACCCCTCACTTACAAAGTTGTTAGATTTTAGCCCTTTACCTTATATTATAACACTTTTAACCCCTTATCTATACGAATGGAAAAAAATAACTCCTATTTAACATTAAGTTATAATGTTCTATTAGTTCTGTTAGCTGACTGCTAGTTCTGTTAGTTGACTATTAGCATCCGTTAGTTGACTATTAGCATCCGTTAGTATTCCATTAATAGAATTAACACACAAAATTAAATTTAAATTTCATATTTTTTATAACGGAATGTTAACGGATGTTAATAGTCAACTAACAAAATTAACAGAACATTATAACCTGATGTTAAGTGAGGGCTATTTTTTTTAATTCGTATCAATGAAAGGCTAAAAATATTATAATATATGATAAAGGGTTAAAACTTACCAATTTGTAAGGTGATGGGCTAAAACTTACCAATTTTGTAAGATAAAAGGCTCAAACTATTATATTATAAGGTAAGAGGTTAAAACCTAACAATTTTGTAAGGTGAGGTACTAAATATTGGTTTTTGACGATTTATGTAAAATAATAGCAATAAATGGGATTATGGGAAATCACAGCATCAGATAATGAAAGGGGAAATGGTTTAGAAATAAACTTTTAATTATTTTTTATATAATTTTATATATTATTTAAATAATTAATTTTTATTTATTTAAAATTTTTGTAAGGTGAGGTACTAAATATTGGTTTTTGACGATTTATGTAAAATAATAGCAATAAATGGGATTATGGGAAATCACAGCATCAGATAATG